ATTGAGATTCTCCATGCTTTCGTGGTGTTTGCATACAGAGAGAACCATACTGTTATTGGTCGTGACTGTGCTAATGGGGCAGCCAAACAGGTTGAACAGAAAGTCTTTTGAAGCCTCAGCGTGGAGAACTCTTTCTGCTTTTGGGTAGCTCCAACCTCACCTTTGATCAATGTCGGTAAAAACTACACTTAAAACCCCATTTCATCAATTTCCTGCCACACTCCATCCCTTTAAAATGTGGAAAAAATTACAATCAAAGGCCTCATTGTTACGAAACTCCTCCCCCTTCTTCTTACTTTTTAGTTCTAAATATAAAACTTATTTTATAATATTATATTATAAAATGAGTTTTGTGTTTGGACCAAAAGAATATTTTACATCTCCTTCCCGATAGAAAGAATATGAGTATATTTTGTAGAAAAAGTACTTTTTATTCTAATACTTAAATTCAGGAAAAAGTATATAAATAAATTATATAAGAGTTAAGGTATAATTTTAACAATAAAATTTACCTTAAGGCACACTAGGCACTATAAAATTTATTTAGCTGCAAAAATATATATGAAGTTATCAAAAGCGGGCATCTAACACCACGTTGTTAACATCTATTAGTTTACCGTTAGAAAAGCCCACCAAGTCAGTTTTAAGACACATTTCTAACAACAAAATTTACATAAAAGAACATTAAGCATCATGAAGTTTACATAAGTGCAAAACTATACATGGCCTTTCTATATGGGGAAAAGATAACAAAATTCTTCAACTCCCGTAAATATCCATTAATTTTATTTTTTTGGATCTCACTAAATATCACTTTCTTTTTCCTCTACTCATTCCTACTTCCTCTTCTCCTTAGCATAATGGACAAATTTTTAAAAAAATTAAAGAAGTAAAACAATTACTTAAATATAGCATACAGTACATGATCTCTCTAAAATATTTATATGCATCATTCAATTATATATTAGTTTGTAAGCGAAACAAATTAATTTGGAGAAAAACGATAAATATAATATTTTAAAGTAATTTATTTAATTTTTTTAAGCTCCTCAAATTAGTCAATTGCGTCCTTAATTGAAGCATGAACCTCATATCCTAGAAGAGAAAGGCATTATTTTGCGTAAATACATATAAAAGGTTTGGAGGCTAAGAAAATGACATGACAAAGAGAGTATGCATATTGATTATAATGAAAAAAGATGGATCGACTTGGAAATAGAAATTAATGGAGAGAAAATATAGAATTTGATGGGACCCAAAAGAATAAAATTAATGGACGTTTATGAGAGTTGAAGAATTTTGTCATTTTTTCCCTTTTAGAAAGTTCATGTATAGTTTTGCACCCAAGTGAACTTCATGGTGCATAGTATCTCTTGATGTAAACTTTATTATTAAAAATGCACCTTAAAATTGACTTTGTGGGCCCCTCTAAAAGTAAACTAATGGACGTTAACGGCCCGGTGCCAAATGCCCCCTTTTAACAACTTCATGTATATTTTTACACCAAAATAAGTATTATAGTGCCCAACCCCAGTGCCCCTTAGAGTAAATTTTGTTGTTAAAATTGCATTTTAACCCATTATATAAATATAAAATATTTATAAATAGTATATAATATATCCTATCATAATTACTCAGCAATATTAAAATTAAGGGTATTATTGAGGGGGGGGGGACCTAATCTTTTTGCAGATTTTATGGAATAGCTTGTGAATAAAAATAAAAGTTATTTTTATATTGAGAATCAGGTGCTTCTTGTGTCACACATAATGTAAGAAAAATTCACTGACTATTTAACAAATTATTTTAAGAAATTTTATGCATTTAAAGCTTTTAATATTTTTATTTAGAAGAAACTGTTTCATAAAATCTACAAAGATATCAAGTTTTTTCCTCAATAATACCCTTGATTTTAATATTGTTGAATAATTATGATAAAGATAGAAATTGATGAGCGTACACTTATAATTAAGTAGGTGTAGATTTTGGATATATTATATATGGTTTATAAATATTTTATATTTGTATAATTTATTTATATATTTTTCCAGAATTTAAGTATTAGAATAAAAAGTACTTTTTTTATAAAATGTACTCATCCCTTCTATCTGAACGATATAAAATGCTCTTCTAATCCTAAATGTAGGACTTATTTTATAATATAATATTATAAAATAAGTTTTATATTTAGGAGGGAAGAAATAAAAGGAAAAGGGAAGGGTCTTGTAGTAACGGAGTAATTGATTATAATTAGTCCCAAAATGTAAAAGGGACAGAGCCGTGAGAGAAAATTGACGAAGTGGAGTCTAGTTTTTACCAAGGTTAATTAATCTGCAGGTTCTTATAGTTTTAACGAATTTTAAATCAGACCTCTATAGTTTTTTTTCTTTTTATCAGTTCCTTATACTTTTACCTTTTTTAATTAGGTCCTTGTATTTATTTTTCTTTTAATTAAGTTCTTATAATTTCACTAAATTTTTAATCAGGTCCATGTAGTTTTAATTTTTATTTATTAATTAAATAGATTAATACTGAAATACAAAATATTAATAATAAAATTAAATTAATAATTATGTAATAAAAAAGTAATAGAATTAATTAATTCAGGAAAATTTTTTAGAACAATTAATTTTTTGCTGAAAAAATTAAAATCATTATAATAATTCAATATCTTTAGAATATTATTGTTTATAAACTAATATTAAATAATATATACTATTTTATGTTTATATAATAGTACTATTAGAATTTATAAAATAAAGAATAAAAAATTTAGGGACTTAATTAAAAATAAAGTGAACTTATAAGGACTTGATAAAAAGAAAAATAAATATAAAGATCTGATTAAAAATAGGTGAAAGTATAGTAACCTGGTAAAAAAAAACTATAAAAACTTTATTCAAAATTAGTTAAAACTATAAAAAACAGTGGATTAATTATCCTTTTTAATCAAAAGTGAAAAAGGAGAGAAGTGCTTCTGAACGAGTTCCGCCTTTTCATTATATATATAAATATATATATATATATATATATATATATATATATATCAGGCTGTGAACCAAAAAAAAGAAAGTCAGGCTGAACTTGTTCACAGTGAGGGTCAAAAAATGTAGCGTATAGATAATCTTTTCCATCATGCAGCATTTGGGTAGTTTATTTTAGGAAAAATGACAATAAAACATCTTTTGAATTTCAAAATAATAAATAAGACATCTAAATAAACAAAATGATAAAGAAGGCATCAGGTACCAATATGAAATTTTGATTTTTAGCCTCAAAACATGTTGCAAAACCTATTGATAAAGTAATAACTCTCATTATGAAAGTTATAAACCGCACTATATATTTTATAAAATTTAATGTGGAATTGTATTGTTTTTTATAGAAAAGTTACTCAACCCACAAAATAGATTGCAAAACCCATTAACCAAGTAATAAATCTCACCATGAAAGTTATAAATTTCACTATGTGTTTGTAAAATTCGGCGTGGAATTATATTTTTTTTATAGAAAACTTGCCCAGCCCTCCCAAACAGGTTGCAAAACCCATTGACGAAATAATAACTCTCACTATAAAAGCTGTAAATCCCACTATATGTTTTATAAAATTTAAAATCAAAATTTTAAATTAGTACCTAATGTCTTCTTTATTATTTTGTTTATTCTGATGTCTTATTTATCATTTTAAAATTCAGAAAGTACTTTATTATATTTTATTATTTTATTTATAGTATTTTGAAAAGGCCTCATTGCTCCCCTTGATAAATATGTACTTTTCAAAGACTGTATTTTGAAAAAGGTTGGCTGGCTTCCTCAGAAAATCAATGGCCACAGTTATAGGGTACAGCTATTCCCCCCCCAGTGTACGGCCATTCATAGGGGCTTTATGAATGATAATGGCCGCTTTTTGTCCAATGCTTATACCCTATGAAAATGACTCTAATTTTTCTTTTTCTTTCTTTTTTCTTGAACTAGTAACTAGCAATAATGCAACGAAAGTTTTTTTTTCTTTTGGGATTTTTCAGTATTCTTTACAGTAAAAACTAGCAATATTTTTTTTCTTTTACTTGTTGAGCAAGCATGAAATTACATAACTAGCATCATACATATGCTTGGGTTTGGCAACAGTAATTAATTACACCACCTTGATTAACCATAAAAATAACACATCCCATGAGTTTATAACAGTGCAAAAGTATCCCACAAAACAAACCAAAACAGTACAAAAGTAGACTGAAACAGACGTCACCCACCAAAAAAGTTAAAAAGAAACGAAGACTGATGAAACACAAAGCAAAAGGAAGCTAGCAAGTCTCACTTTCTATTACAATGTCCTGAGAAATTCCTTGCTTCTTTTTGTCGTCTTTTTCGAGAAAAACACTCGTCAAAACATTCTTGCACTGCAGGGAAGCCTTCAACAATTCAATACCCTATCAAATGCAGGAAAAACTATTAGAGCATATAAACATTATAAGGGAAAAAAAAAGAGCCAACATCAAAAAAGTAAGCAAGAATATCAAAACCAACTGAATAATAATTAAGAGTATATAAAACACGTATTTTATCATCTTTAATCCAATGATATTCAAAAGACAACTGATTAGGGAGTATTTGGATATCATCAAAAATGCTTTTTAAAAATAATTTTTTATAAATTAAGACAAACTCTTTGACATATTTATTTTGTATATTGTAAAATTATTTTTAAAACTATAGTTTAGTTTCTATTTAATTAAATACTTCTTAAACATACATGCGATCGATATTTAAAAAAATATAACTTTACAATAAATTTTGACCGGATTCTCATTTAAGGAAAAGGGTATGTTATGCTTTTAGTATAATAACCTAAACTATAACATCTTTGGAAAACACAGAAAATGAAAAGAAAAGTCTCGGAGATAACGTCCCTGTATATATTAATTATGTTACCTCTTCCATTCCCAACTCAACAACCCTTTCTTGTAATGCAGAAATGTCCTTGACTTTGAACTTGGAGATCAGAGTGATGGTTGAAATGGTGGACATGGGACGAACTTCGAGATCATCCATCACAGTGTAAGTGACCACTCCTTTCACGAAGCCTTTCGCACTTGAATCTTCTGCCACCTTTTTATCATTACCCACTAATTGTACGGCATTGCCCATGCTATATCCACAACTTCGACACGAGCTGTCCTTAACATAAGTCACGTTATAATTGCAACGTCTCCCACACATGTAGAGCTTTGGAGCGGCTCCTGAGGAATTGGTATCATGATGATCATCATCACTTGCAGCAGGAAGAAGGTAGCCAGAAACAAATGGAGCACTTGGCTTCAGCAAAGTGTTCCTGTCTTGTTCTGGGTTGTTGAGATAAACGTCGCTCAGATTCTCTGCGCTTTCGTAGAGTTTGCCCAAGCAGCCAACCATGGCGTTTTTTGTTAGCAGCCTGATCACTGTACCGACAGGTAAACGAAGCAAGTTGAATAGAAAGTCGATGAACTCTTTTGAAGCTTCAGCAAAGAGAACTCTTTCTTCTTTTGTGTCGATCAACAACTTCACACTCACTTTTGACGATGACGAGGATGCCATCTTTCACTGTTTGTGCGCAAAGCAATTCAGTTTTGTGTGCTTAGTACAACAAGAGAATTGAGGATGAGCGGATGCATATATAGAGTCATGTATTTTATCCTAGGATTATAAAAGTCTTTTTTTTTTTTTGGGGGGGGAGGGCTGAATTAAAAGTCATTCTTGCTCCCGAAGTTTTCATAAAAGAGGTGTGGCATCAGGAAATTTTTTTAGAGCAACTTCGCCAATTGCAAAATTATAAGATTTAGCACTTTAAAAGGTTTAGTTTTCTTTTAACGTCGATTATTAAATCTTTAAAAAATTATAAAAAAATTAATATCTAAATTATTTTTTATAAATAAGATATTAAACTGTCATACATTTTATGTAGAATCTGATGATAAAAAAAAATGTAGAAAAAACCTTAAAATTACAGGACATTTGGGGCCCAACACCCAAGAGGCAGCAGTTTTCGGAGAGGCGGAAGAAGAAAAGTGGAGCGAGGGAAGGGATGGGGACACGTTTCTTAAGGCTTTTTGACTAAGGTAGGTGTTGCTTTTGATCGGTTTCATTCATACGATGAGGCACTTTAATGCTTTGCTTCCTTGGATTCCAAGAGAAGTTAAAAGGAGGGACAATGGGAAGAGGGGAACAGAGAGAAGAAAAAATCGGGGTGGCTTAGATAGAGAGGAGAAAATAAAGGGGGAAAAAATATTTAAATGATTAAAATATTTTTATCAAAATATATCATATTTAAAATCAAATCAAAGATTGTAATAAGAAAATTATACTAACATTAGCATCATCAAATAATTTAAAATTTAGTTATTCGGTTTATACATATTTTTATATTATTATATTCTAAAACCAAATTATTTAATAAAAATATTGTTATAAGATAAAAAATTAAAAGTGAATAACTTTTCAAATTCTTAAAAAAATAATTAAAAAAAATATGGAGAAGAAGAAGTAAAAAAACTTTCCAAATCTCTCCGTACATTAATAGAAAATTTAAAAAGAAAATGAAGTATAGGACTAATCTTATTATTTCCTTTACTTTTTTTTTTCTCTCCTGTTTTCTCTCATGTCTAAGCAGAGAAATCTCTCCCTTTTTTTTTTTTTGTTTTCTTTCTTCTCTAGTTTTCTCTCCTCTTTAATTTTCTCTCAATTCAAGTAAGGGGTAAATTTCTCTCCTCAACCACGCAGATGCCACATCCTCACTAGCATTGCATTTTGAAGTCAAATTTTTTCAGCAGGGATAATATTGCTAGAATTTTCAACTTTGCATAAAAAAAAATTCTATGACTAGCATTTTTAAATAAAAATTTTTGGGATAAATTTGCATGTTATCCCTTTTATCAAAAGCATGCTCTTTGGCTTTTTATTTTGAGCAAAATCATAAGCATGCTTTAAATTTCACTTCTCTTTGTGGAGGGAAAAAAATCCATTTCTGTCTATATAAACAAGAAATTACGGTTTCACCTTTGGCAAACAAAGCTAATGTTCACCAAAAGTACCAAAGTACAGCTAAAGGTCAAGTGACGCCTCCTTCATGGGCCAGTGCGCGTCAAATTAAGCTGCCTTTTTTTTTTTGGGAATAATACCGAATAATATTACTAAACAAAGGCAAACGCCAATACAAAAGAACTAAACTTGATCAAGATCCACTGCTTCGATCCAAAGTGGAGATTGATCAAAGATATAAAAATTTTCTTCTAACCTATGGGCAGCTTTTGCTAAACTATCAGCATCTGTCCACACGTCTAATTAAGACTTGCTAATTAAACTGCTTTTTAATCAAAAGCATTTTTTAAATTCCACTTTTCTTTATTATATTTGTTTTCTTCAATTAATTCTTTTCAAGTCACTCTTTTCATATATAAAACTTTTTTTTCCCTTTTGTCATTTAATCAGCAAACTAATGCACTTTGCGAGCCAGTTGTACCCAAGGCATCAAATCTTGTAAAAATTTATCCTGGTAATGGAGATGAAAAATTAAGGCAAGGGCCAATACAAAAGGTAGACTAGCTGAAAAAGCCAAGTATGACATAAAATCTAGATAAGATCTGGACTGATATTTTTGAAATTATCAGTCTAAGAAGGGTAAAGCGGAAAAATTTGAGAAAAAAATTCAGAAAATTCCTGAGAATAGTAAAAAGGTAAATTAGAGGTTTTGAAATCTCAATGAAGGCACTAAAGGTGAAAATTGTATGAAAATAAATTATTTCAAAATTTCCTGAAAATAGAGGTTTTTCGGGAAAAATAGTAAAAAAAAAAAGGAGAAAAATAACTATTTTAAATAGTTTGAGGCACCGATAATTCCAGAAAAATATGGATTAATTATCTAAATATTTTTTTTGAATTTATAAAATTAGTTTTAGGCCTTAGAAGCACAGGAATTAATTTTAGATTTCTCGCAATCTTACTGATAAATACATAGTCAGAAAAAATTCAAAATGAATAGTTAGAGGTGGAGGAAATTTCTAAAAGTTTTCGGATCATATCCTTCTATGAAAAGGGAATTTTTCATGGAGATAAAGGTATTTTTGGAGGTCTAAAAAATTATGGAATGATACAAACAAATAGCAACTGATAAAACTTCAAAATGGTTTGGATGATATTATAATTTGTGGGCCACCCTAAGTCATAAGTGGGCCTCACATTGGGCCAGGAAAAGACCCAAATTCGTGCAAAATTCAGGGCCCAATATTAAAGTCCAATTAAACACAAATATATTGGAATATTCTAGGCAAAACACACTTGGCATGATCTAAAAATTGCAGTTTGTGATGGCAGCCATGTGTCCCTCTTATGTGGCACTCTAACATGCCATTTTGAAGGGGAGAGAGGGCAGAAACTTTGCCCATAAATGTCCCCCTTTATACATGGAAATAGGTAGAAAATTGACAAAAGAAGAAGAGGTTTTGTCAAAACGTTTTCTTGAGCTTCAAACCTGAACTTATTGAGTGCATTTGGAAAAAGAATCATCAAGTTTTAATCAATGATTCACCAAGGTATGTTTGAACTTTGGTTTAGTTAAGATTAAAGCTTGTTTTGGCTAGATATTTGAATTAAAATTTAAGGGGGAGATACTGCCACATTTTGGTTAAATTGTCTATGTATTAGGGAAGGATAGAAACCCTAAAAATGAGTTAGAATTATCATGTTTAAGTGGTGTTTGGATTGATTTTGGAAGAAAACCAAGTTAGGGTTATTAAGGAGTTAATTTGGCCAACATATGTTGTTGGGGTAGGAGTTTGTTTTGATGTGTTTTGACGATTCCAATGAGTTCAAAAAGTGTTTTTGGGTAGGAAATCACTAAAAGGAAGTGTTTAGAATCATTGGAATCAAATATTAAATTTTTGAAAAGCATATACCCCAATTCGGCCAAAACAAAATGAAAGGAAGAGGGTTTAATTTTCATAAATCTAATTTGATATTTGGATTCTACATGAAAAATTGTGTAGGAACGAGCCAAGAGATTATTGGAATCAAAAGAGGATTAATTATGTTAAAAATCAAAGAAAAAGGAGAATTAAGAAAGTTTAAGTGTTGATGTTTAAATAAATGATTGTTAAGGTGGCTTGCAATTGCACTTGAATTGATAGGTTTTATGGAGGAAAATCAAGGAGGACATTGACCCCTTGAAGAGGCTGAATTATATTAAGTGAACAAGGTAGCATTGAATCTAATTTGATTGTTTTTCTTGCTTACTTAATGCGTATGTATTGTTTGCTTTATTTTTCTATGAACTGATTGATTGATAATATGGTATGGAATGCTCTTGATACCGATATGCTTTAACCAAATGCATATTGATATAGAATGTGAACATGTACTATTTTTCCTTGATGGAATAATGTGCTATTCACGAAATTAAAATTGATTATTGTGCATTGTGACCTGTCATATTTTGTAAGGCATGATTAATATGAGAATTATGATTCATCGCTACTGAGATTTCTATAAAATCTCACTCTCTTCAATGTATAAACAGTAATAGGAATCCCAAATGGTGTTACCAAGGGCAAGGAGAAAGAAAAGGGATTCACTTGGAGGATAAGGAAGTTTATGGTTAATGAAATGATGTTTTTGTAATTATATATATTGGTATGTATTGTTGTAAATTATGTTGAAATATTATATCAATGATTAAGGATATTTACATGTGGTTAGTTGATTGAGGATTTATGTGTGAGTATATGTTATATGATTCGAAATGTTATATGAAATGAAAAGAAAAGAAAAAAGAGCAAAAATTGCAAAGAGGGGAATAAATGTTAACTTTTTAAGAGTAAAGTTTGACCAAGATTTTGAGCAATTAGATGAATCTGGATCTAAAATTTGACATGCTTATAAATCTCATATTTAACTTTAAAATAAGTAGTAATTCATTAAATTTGAAGTTTTATATAAAAAAGTATGCTCTTCCAAAGTTGGGCATAAATCATGAAAAATTGATAAATAACCAAACAAACAGTCCCATTTTGAACGAAATATGGGATTGATGCATGAGATCTGGATGCCAATGAGTATTTTCCTCTAAAGAGCATGTCAAGAGTTTTCTATAGAACTTGGAACCATCTCATTTCAATTTTTCCATAATTTGTTATGAATTTTTATAGTTGGCAAAAATTTCAGTGAATAGTGAATAGTGAATAGTAACTCAGAATTCAAATTAAAATTTTGAAACTTTCTTGTACTTAAGTCTTGAATAATAGTTCTAAATGGTTCCAGTTATTATACAATGAGACAATAAAAGAGGTGTAATATAAGGCAACTTATGTGCCACTATACCATAGAGGGGTTGGCTCAAAACTGATGTTTCATTAGTTGTTCATTTTCTTTTGGCCAAAAAACAAAAATTAGTTGTTCATTTCCTAAATTAACGGCCAATATGAGTGGGTGTTAAAAAAGAAATACTTTCGGGCTCACATCGTTTCCCAAATCTTTTACCTATAGCTTTCATGTGAAAAACTTTAGACGTAGAACAGATTGTGGCACAATTCGAGGGATTTCTGTGA